ATGACTGTGTCGTCTCATGTGGCTGACTGCTTGAAAACACTGAATATCCCCCAGGGACTTGTGAGATCCCTGCCTCTTCCAGCTGGGTCTCTGGTCTTGTCTCTTCAGCCTGTATTTACTCCAGAGCATCAGAAGACCCAGCACAGCCACTGGTACTTTCCTGTCTGCTAGTTCTTAGCACCCTGATTTCATGACTAACATGACTCTTTCCTTGACTGCACCTGAGACATGAAGCCACTCGGCCTTTACCACTGCACACAGAAAAATCCTGCTCTCTTTTAGGTAAGGATTTCTCTGATCTGAGCCATACATCCTAAGGTTTCTTTTTCTCTATTTCAGAATCCCATCCTTTCACCTGTGAACTCTAAGCTTTTTTACCAAAATGCCTGACACCTCAATAAACCAACCTCAACTGTTGACCAGCCTCCCTGGGTGACCCCCAGCTTTTATCAGGGAAGCATACAACATGCTCCCATCTCTCCAGACCTTCCCATCTGCAGCACTGAACTCTCAGAAGACCTTTTTGTTAAGCAAAATCTTCAAACTGATTAATAGAGTTTACCAGAAAAGGTACATAAAATATAAGTAGATGTATCAGTCAGGATGTAGTTACCTGCGAGGAACGGAAACCCAATTCAGTAGCTCGGACCCATGATTCTCAAACATTCAGGCTTATCAGGATGTCCTAGAATGTTTGTTGAATCAGATCCCTGGGCTGATTCCCAGACTACCTTTTTCATGGTGGTGGTGGAGGGACCAAGAATTTGAGTTTCTAACAATTCCCCAGATGGAGCTGATTTCTGCCCATCTGGGACCACACTATGAGAACCACTGAACAGTAAAGGGTTGTATTGTCTCACACAACACAAGTTCAGGCGTGGATTCATGAGGCGGCTAAATGACATCATCAGGGGCCAGGATCTCCTCGTCTTTCTACTCAGCCATCCTCAGCATCTTGGGCTCTCTTTCTCACACGGGTCCCTCATGATTATAAGATGGTTGCAGCTGCTCCAAACAGCATATCCTCCTATAAAAATATACAACAAAGACAGTCTATATTCCCTGGGTACCCTTTGGAGTGACGCAAATGGTCCTAGAAGGAGCTTTGCCTCACTTCCCCTTGACCGGAGCTGGGTCCTGTGCCCATTCTGACAGTCACTAGGAAAGGACATTGGGTTGTGGTTGATTTACACACAAAGGTTTTTGTGCTAAGAAGTGTTCACCTTCTGGGCTGGGAAGCATCAGTGTCCATGAAGCGCCGAGCTACATTGATACTGAACGAAAACTGGATGTGGGGAGCAAGCATGAGAAGGGGCGGTGTCCGGTCAGGAGGGAGCTACCGGTGTCCACCACGGCCGCAGGGGGAGTGTGGATCCGAACCCTCCTCAGATGCAATTATGCCTGAAATACGTGATCTCCATTCCTGGTGTGCACACTCCCATTTTCCAGGGATTTTGAGGAAGGTGTTTTTAATAAAGTTCAAATAGAGTGAAATGAAATTTAGCCTTTTCAAAAACATAATAGTGATGCTGACTTATATGTGCAGAATTGTTATTGTTTAGAACCCAGACATAATTCTACCAGTATGTTCTTCATATATGTTTGTTTTTGTTATTGAATTCTGTGCAGCATTGGAAGCTGTTTTATGAAAATAGCTTTTATGAAAGATCAGGACACAAAGGATGGAAAATTGGACCTTTGAAGGTGCCTAAAGAGCAAGGACTCTAGTTGGAAAATAAGAAAGCTGCAGTCATTTATCAGCATCGGCTACGTTAGAGGCTATGATAAGGGACACACATGTCAACATCAGCTGCCCTTCTTGTAAGAATAGATCACCAGAAAAAGGGACAAAAGGCAGTGAGGGAAGTATGTTCATTTTCCACAAGGAATAATTTGAAAATACTGAGGATTATTAAATACAATATTGATGGTTGAGAGAATTTTAGATTACATTCCTTGGAATTCTCAAAAAAAATAAGACTTTGAAGCCATCTTTCTTCGCAGGGATGGGAGAGCGGCGTGCGGGCCACACACTGTGCCAAACCAGTCAGGGCCTCGGCGCTGCCCACCTCTGTGGCCATCACTTTGCCATCTGGTTCTGCCCACTTTCGGAGCATCATCTTCCCGGGCCCCTTCCCCCCAGCCCACACCTGGGCTCACCCACGCCGAAGCCTTACTAAATTCTGTGATTTGCACCTAGCTGGCGTATGAAGGCGACATACAATGAAACTGAAAAGAATTGCTGAACTTGAAGTAAATGTTTATTTACCAAAAGATAGTATTTCCTAAGGGATCCTCAAGAAAACTTAATGCAAAATATTGGAAGCTGGAGACATTTAAAAAAATATCTGTGTCAACGTTGCACATCATAAACCTTCACTTTCCTTAGAAATCTGAGGCCACTTACATCCTCATCTCGCCTTTCCTCATTCCATTCTTTTATTTGTTACAGTGTTACTTTTTGCACCTTCAAGGTAAAAGACTTACATTTCTTCTGTATCATAATTCACCTAATTTAAAAATACTCAGCCTTCATTTAAGTGCATTCCTGCCCCCGGTCCTTTGACCATACTTACTGTTCAATCCATTTATTAATTATCTAGATTTGTTACTAAAAGCAAACAGAAAACTCAAAGCCTTTTTTGAAAAACCTCTCTACGTGCTGTGTTGCCTGAGTTCTCTCGTAAAGGAGGAGGCTCCCCGGCACCTTTATTGATGAGCGCCCCCCGTATTGATCGGGCAGGATGTCTATGTCTCCCGTTCTTCTCTCACTAACTGTATACTGTTCTCCATTGCCTCTGGCATCAAATGTCTTACCGAACCTTATTTCTTACTCAGAGTGTTTTTCCTTTCTGTTGAGATGGCTGAGAAGTCCTGCCTTCATCCTCAAAGTTCTGCAGGTGGACTTGGACATGTCCCGTTGTTGGGCACTTCATTCCAAGTAGTCTGAGAACTTGAACACCGTGCATATGAAGATACAGATCTTTCTTTAAATGAAGACAAGGTTCTTGTATTATACCTTTGAACACTTTTTATTTTTAATTTGTTGACTTCTGTACTTTGGGAGCCGTGATTAACTCGATGGGCTTCATCTTTGACGCATCTTCATGTCCGTGTCTTCAGCGTCTCTCTAAATGTCTTACAGCTTTCTCCTTTTCCAAATGTCACCGCGGTTGCAGTTTTCCCTGTGTCACTAATTCCCATTCCCACCGTGTCCAGCCTGTTGCCTGCGTTTCTAGTGCATCGGTGCTTCACCGATGTTGGTCTTCAACTCATTGCCTTTGGGACCACGTTCACCCTTTTTCCTCTCCCTCTGATTTTGTTTCCCAGTTCATTTTTGGACTCCCAACTCATTGAATCCGGAGATTCTGATGAGTTGTTTCTGAGTGTGGACCATGTTTGGGGAACTGGCCTTGTTAGGCGCCCCGTACCCTCTGCCCCACCCGCTAACCGGAGCTGATGCTGCCCCTCCACCTCAGGCTCCCTCTGGTGCTGTGAACAGTTACACTGAGCAACTCACTGGAAGTGAGCTCCTTCCTGACTCTGCCTTTCTATCAAAGTTCCCTTTGCCCTACAGTGTTGAAAGCTCCTTCTTTACCTGGAAGCCTGTACTTGGTCTTCAAGACAGATGTTACCTGGACCAGTCAGGACAGGCAAGGCGCGTTGCAGTGACAGCAAGCCCCGAGTCTGAGAGCTTATTTCTGGCTCACAGTGATATCTCCAGTGTCAGTGGGCTGAGGGAGGGACGGGTCTGGCTTGCAATAGTGGCCAGAGGCTGGGCTGGTGCAGGTCCCATGTGGGCTCCCAGAATCACTGCACAGTTAGTAGGAAACACAGCAGATTGTCCACTGCCTCTCAGAACTTACACTGAGAAGTGAGACATGTCACTTCTGCTCATTTTTCATTGACCAAAGCTGACCCAGAGGCACACCTTCAAAGGGGAGGGGAAGCAGCACTCACTACCGTGAGTCAGAAGGAGGGAACTCAGAAATATCTGGTGAACAGTTTTAGTGACGCAACCTATTTTCAACTTACCTAAGCAGAGTTAGTTATTCACTTTTCTGGATTCCAAAACTCTACTCATTCCTCTGTGACGGCATCTTCCAAGTCTCACCATGTATGTGTGTTTTTCCCCTAAGGAAGCTCCTCGAAGGAACGGATCAGGCTGAGGATACAGGTGCCACCAAACTCTATTACCACACCTGTGAAGCCACTGTGCTAAGACGTTTACCCACATGCTCATTTTACGTTCACAAACCCCTGTGGACCAAGTATTGTTCAGAACACCAAGCTCAGAAAGATTGAACAACTTCCTAGAGGTCACACAGCTAATAAACAATGAGTCAGAATTCACAGCACTTATTCCAAGTCCTGGGTTTTTCCTACCATGTGTTGGCAGAGCTAACACAACACGTGATTCACAGGAGGAACCCAACAAATATTTATTGAATATATTTAATGGATGCATTTGTCTTGTATACTACTATAATAGGGCCAGCCTAAGTGTGTTTGTTGATTTGAGTGATTATACTATATATTGCATTATTTCTCAATATTTACCTTGTTTATTGGCTTTATGAAGCATAGCATTACTCAAGGCATTAAAACATATTCCCTGATTTTAATAACTAACCAATATTGAACTGCTGCCCCAATACCAGCATGCATGAGAATTGCATTTAGCTACCTTAACAGAAAATCCCAAACAACAGTGGTTTAAACATATAAGGGTTTATTCTTTCAGGCAAAACTAGACCAAATGTAATGCAGGTGATTCAAAGCTGGGATGGTGATTCTCAGGCTCCCTCTGTTGTTCAGCTTTGCCACCCTCACTGCACATCTGCCTTCATGTTTGCTTCATGGCCCAATGTGGCTTCTGCAGCTCCAGCCATCACATTTGCTTCACCAGCAAGAAAGATGAATGGGAAAGATTATAAAAAGGAGGCCTTTCCTGCTTTATCAGCTACTTTAAAAGTGACCCTTCTACTTACGTTTTGCAGGCTACACTTTGGACACGTGGAAATGCTGCAAGAGAAGCAGGGAAACAGACTTGGAACTGGGAGTATTGCACCCCAAAGTGCTCTCAGTCTAAGGAGGACAATGACAGTGACAATTGGGTGGCCACAAGCAAACTTTGATGCCTCCTACATCTACATCTGACTTCAGAAACAGCTGCTTCTTTTGCATTAACTTGATCATGTGTTTTTATTGTAAAAATACATCTCTTACAGTGTCTGACTAACATGTGCCTGCTTTGATCCATGCAATACAAGGTGGGAAATGTACGTATAGATACATCTATGAAAACTGCACACTCTGATGTTGTAAGAACACTTCGGCTTTCTCAGGGACAAGTGCACAAACTGAAAGTTACTAAGATTACATGTGAGCCTCAATTCTGCTCGTATACTCTTAGCTCTGGTCCCTCAGCCAGCTGCCTGGAGGCAGTGGGGAAGTTTATTGAACACCAGTTCACGACAGGAATTGCTAGGCTATGCAGAAAACTCACTCCGCCTTTCCACTCAGAAGACCTAGCACAAACATCCTGGTCTAGTTGTGAAGATGGTTGCCTTCAAGGGATCGAAAAGGCAAGTCACGGTATGTGCCTGTGTATTTGAAACACTTCACTGAGAACTTTTCTCCATTATTCATATTTCAACAAATGTTTAATGCATATTTCCTCTGCCTCTGGTTATATCTGTGTATCTGTTGACCTCCTCGACATTCTTCTAGGCGTTGGGGATAGAGTGGTGAGGAAACCTGAGTCCTTGCATTCACAGAACTTCTTAATGATAAACAAGTTCACAGACACAAAACCTGAGGGGAAGACAATACAGAGGGCAACACGGAGAGGGTCAGCATCAGGGCGAACCGCGGGAGGCGTCCTGCGGAAGGACAGTGCGCAGCGGCCGAGGTGCCTGGGGCCAGCGAGCACGGCGTTGCACCACTGCATGTGGCCATGGGCTGCGACCCACGTGACCAGGCTGGTCTCTGCTGCAGGACACGAGGGCCGTCTCGTCGCTGGCTGTGCACACAGAGGGTTCTGATGAAATCAGTAGTTGAATGAGTTGGGCTCCATGCTATAAGATCTTGATGCTGATGTCCATCACCCCATGTTTAAGGTAATTTTATGAGTCAGCATGACCAAACATTACCAGGCTGTACCTTCTCTTTATCCACTAACATAATTATTGGTATCACCTTGTTGTGACTTTGGTCATCAGGGCCATCTGCCCAAGATGACCATGCTGTCCACATGAAAGCAAAGCACAGAGAAGTCACGGGGGCTGTTCCTTCAGGGGAGCAGTCACTGACAAGCTGAGGCAAGAGGGGCACACCCATTCAGATACCCACGACGGGCTCTCCAGCAATGCCCGAGGAGGCTCCAAACCATCCCTCCCATGTGGCTTTGGAAGGCAGGTGGCAGACCTGGTTTGTAACTGTGTGCCCGGGCCGACTCCCCCTGCAAAGCCCAGGGCCCCATCACCCTGTGCCGGCATCACCTGGACGCTGGGAGCTGTCCCTGCAAAGCCCTCATCCTTGCAGGCATGTCCACACCCCTCAGACTCCCGGGGTGCTCGGGAGGGAAGCTTTGTGCGGTGACGACCCCGCGGGTGCACTGCCTGCTCCCTGGCCCGGAGTCTCTGGGGAGCTGGTCCCCAGCACCAAATTCTTCCTCTTGGCTATGCCCCCTGCTAGGGGAGGCGGACAGGAGGGCCCCCGGGCCCAGCCCTGCCCTGGCCCATCCACCAAGCTTTCGAGGATCTGCTGGAGATGTCAGTGCCCCGCCCTGGCTGGCAGCCCAGCTTTGGGTGACCGCTCTCAAAGCAAACTCCGCCCCTTTCTCCCATCTGGTCCATTTTTTGGAAACGTTATGCAGTCATGGCTTTCTGCTTTCATCTCCTCTGCCGGAACCAACACCGCTGACTGGTGGCCAGAGCCACCTTCCCCCAGGGTGGTCCCAGTTCCGTGGCTGGTGCTGGCCCTCAGAGCTGGGCACACCCGCTCCTCTCCTCAGCACTTCCCTGCCGGTCACTGGGTGGGCTGCGAACTCCATCTGCAGGGAGCAAGCATCTAACTTGGGCAATGGTCACACAGAACTGAAGTGGTACCTCTGCACCAGGCTGATCGCACAGGCCCCCCACCCTGGCCTCACGCCCAGGGTGCCAGACAGCAGCAGCGGGTGGCCTCCTGTGCTCCCCTACATCCTGGCCCCACTGTAGTGATGGCGCCTCCACGCTGGCCTCCTCCCAAAGGCTCACTGAACACAGCAGGAGGGAGCCTTTAGCGTGGGGACGTCCTTGCAGCACCCGAGCTTCCGTTCAGAAGCGAAACTGCTCCATCCCAGTGAGAGGAGGTAACTTGCTTGAATTCCCTTCCCTTCCTCTGCACACATTCCAATCGTTCAAAGGTGTGCGGTTTGCCTCCCACTCAATGTTTTCTCCTGATTCCCTTGGAGGCATCCAGGTGTGGCTGAAAATATGCTCGACCCTGGGAGTGAACGTCTGCACCCAGGGGCAGTGAACAGCCCAGGAGGAGAGTGTGAATGAAGCCGAGCCTGCATGGTGACCTGTCTACCTGGTGACTCAGGAAAGATGAGAGGCCGGTGGCTGGGAGGCTGCACAGGCTGACTTCTTGAGCGGTGCTTCCATGTGACTGCGTAAGCGTAAGTTCCCCGGGACGGGGTGTCAAACATCCTCAACTCGCTCATCCCGGGGGTTCATCACACTGGACTCCAAGCTTTATCTTGGGAAAGAAAATACAACTTTTCATTATGTTTCCATTGCATTCAAGATTTGGTAGAAAGGTGGTGAGACTTTTAATTATTGAACTGCACCAAAGTGTTCACGTAAGTAAATTTCAAAAAATATATTGAGATAGCTGTTGGGTTGTTTCTCTAAGAAAACTCCTAATCTTGATGCGTTGCTATAGACTGCATGTGTGTCTCTCCTCGCTAACCTTCAGTACTAGGAGGCAGGGCCTTCAGGAGATCAGGTCACGACCGGGTTAGGGTCCTAGCAAAGGGACCTGGGGGAGCTCTGTCTGCAGCCCAGAGCCCGACTGTGGCGGTGCTTTGACTTGCAGTTCCAGCCTCCAGACTTGTGAGCAAGAGACGGCTGCTGGTTTTCAGCCGCTGCATGTATGGCGATTTTGTTAGAGCAGCCCAGACAGGCCAGGGCATTTGTGAGGCGCCCACTCACGACTAGTGCTTGGAAGTGGCTGAGCTGAGGCCCTCTAAATAAAAGTCAAAACCGAGAGTTAGCAAAAATGATGGCATTTGTTCCTCTCAGTCTCTGGCACATGGAGATGGCAGGTCTCTATCAAAGGGCCCAGGGTATAAACCCAAAGCCTTGGTCCATGCCTGGCATGGCACAGGGCTAATGGCCAGCACTGATGTTCTTCTTGCTGTTCGTCTGCGGTAGGTAGAGGGGGACCCCTCAGACCTTTGCTGTGCCTCAGGAAAACAGTGACCATGCATGCAGTGCTCTTTGAAGAGTGAGTCAAGGGCTGTACCAAGCAGGCATTAAAGCCACGTAGCCGCTAAGGGGACGCCCACCATCCGCCTTGGTGCAGCCCTGAAGTGATGCAGTGATGTCACTGAGAGGTGAGGAGGCTCTCTAGTTTCTTTGAAAGTTTTCCTTTGGAAAAAAGTGAAGGGCCATTTAGTAATGTATAACAGTGCTTCTCAAACCTCAGTGTGCACGCAGACCCCTGGGGCTTGCTTAAAGGCAGATAGGGACCCGGCGGGTGTGCGGTGGGGCCGAGGCTCTGCTCCTCTGACAGCTGTGGCGTGAGGCTGCTGCTGCCAGCCCGAGGACCACACTTTGGGCAGTGAGGCGTATGGCGCAAGAGTGAGTGGGAAATACGCCCTGGGAGAGGTGCGAACTGAAAAGCCAGTGTCCCCCACCTCAGTCCATTCTTCCCCAAACTGCCTTCCCAGGGGGCACCACAGGGGGGCTGATAATCTTCAGCAGAATAGGGACCTCCCCTCACCGTGTGGTGTGGCGGTGACTGTAGCAGGTCATCCTTGGAGACTGAGGGACTCGCCCTTAGAGAGCCCCCAGGGCAGGCAGCCCCTGGCATGAATCATTCACTTGTCCCCCAGTGACACCACACAGCGGGAAGGGTACTTGCAAAACCACCTCAAAACAAGGGAAGGGGGCTCTGCAGCAAGCAACTGCCTTTTCCTTTCCGTGTCCCCCTGTGTCACCCACACGTCACAGAGGGCCATTAAAGAGCTGTTTTCTGGAGTCTGGGAGAAATAATGAAAAGTCATGCCAAGTCATGGTAAGAGCATCTTTCCTCTCCCGCCTGACCCCTGGGGCCCTGCTTGACTGTGGCCATGAGAGAACTTTCTTCTCCCCTTCTGCAAGTTTACCTAAAGGCACCTAAGAAGTGATCACTAAATCAGACTCCTGTTTCTTATTTTGGTCCTGCTTGGGGACCAAATTCCCATGGCTGGTAAGAAAGGACACCTAGCAGTGTCTTGGGACGAGAGTGTCCCGGATGGGAGGAGGCCACTCCCCCCCCCCTCCATTAGACTCTGTGCCGCAGCTTCTCTCATTCATGAACTTCCTCTCCCTGCCCGAAGGCAGTGTCCCCAGCTGCCCCATGGCTTCTCAGCCCTGTCTCCCCAGACGCCCGATGCACCTCATTACTTCAGCTACCGAATCGGTGTCCTCAACTCTAACTCCTGTGGGTGTCCCATGAACAGCTCCTGGCGGGACATCTCATAATGTCTCACAGGCACCTATGCTCAACGCACCAAAAAAGTAGATCGTGTTCCTGCCCAGACCCCGAATCCCTCCTCACCCAGCGCACCTACTCCTCTGCCCCTTCACTGCCGTCTCCCTCCAAAGCACAACCTCTGGAGTGGCGAACGCGCAGAATCATAGGGCCCCAGATGCCATCTGTATGCCAGCGACCCAAGTCTGTGAGCATCCCGCCTGAACGCCTAACACACGCCTAGAAATCAACATGATCAGAAAGGACCCGTTTAACGCGGCCACCCCACCCGCCAGCCTCGCCCACGTCAGTAAACACCGCCTTCCACGCCCTCGGGGCCAGGGGCAGAAGCTGGGGGCCCTCGGCTCTTCTCTCCACCTCCCACCGCCATGAGCCCTTAGCAAGTCCTGGTGTATTAGCCTAACAAGTGCGTCTCACTCCCATCTGACCCCTTCTCTCCATCGCCCCTCCTCGTTCCGGACCCATAGTTTCTTGCTTGGGGCACACGGCAGCCTCCTGGGAGGTCTCCCCGCTTGCATGTCCCCATTCCATCCTCTGAGCGATGTGTGTGCAGCACGAACCAGTGTGATTGCTCCCCAGGGCCTTCTGGCACCCGAAGCGGGGTCCCCGCGTTCCCGCGGCCCACCGTCTGTGGCCACCGTACCGCCGGTGCGGCTGTGTATGTCACCGCGCAAATTCAACTTCAAACACTTTGGGGCTATGGGAGCAACTGAGTATGGGAGAAAATGATTATCTATTATTACTCATGAATATTTATCCACTCACTTGAATTAAAAATACTTACATACCTTAGAAACATATCTGATTGTTCACGTGGATATTAAAGTTTTATAAATACAGCCATTATAGGATGTACATAATCTATAGGGCTACATGGAATTCTATCACATAGAACCTTTATGGGGTAAATGGGGTCCCGTGCTTTCCTTTATAACGAGACGCCTGGGAGTCCCGTCCCACCCAGAGCTGTCACTCTCCCTACTTGCTGCCGCAGGCGCTGGCAGTCAGCTGGCTTGCCCGCCGGTTTCTTCCCTGCGGAACCCGTATGTGAGCTGCTTCCCCTTGTCTGCCTGCCCTCTGGGCCCGGGGCTGCTCTTAGCCCAGGGCTGCTGGGCGGTTTGGGGGTGGCATCGCTACTTGTTTCTTGCAAAGGGAAATGCTGACAAGCAGATTAAGAATAAAGGCACTTCAAGGCTCCTCTTTCCTGGTCTTTTTTGAATACTGGCACCTAAAGGGAAGGTCTGGAGTAAACACAGAATCAGTGGTCGTGGGAAATTCTGACTGAAATAAATAAGGACGACGAAGTAAGGGAACAGCATTCTTGGGTTCGATTTCCGAGGTATCAGGGAACCGGCCCCTTATATTACAGGATGACCTGTGGCCTGTCCTGAACACAGCACACTTGCAATGCTTTTTGGGGGATGGAAGAGTAAACAACAATCCTTGTGTGACTTAACACTGTGTCTCCAATAATTTTCTCTTCTCTGTCATTTATTAAAAAACTCATTAACAAAGACTGAAAAGGAAGTAGGATGGGGAAAAAATTCTCCTGTGTGACCCTGAGCAAATCGCTTTACCTCTCTGGGCCTCACTTTCCTTACACGTGAATTATCTCATAGGAGACTGACTTAGACACACTTGGCAAATACCTAACCACCCGCCTTGTACCAGACACAGGCCCTTTCTAAAATACGGTGACTTTATAATAACTGGCAAATATTAAAATAAATCCTAATAAATGCTGAGGATCCTTTACTAATCCACTGAACGACGTTTTGCGTGACAGATCGCCACATGGACGAGCAAGCCCAAGACCCACTCGTTAGGGTTTGTCCAAAGCTGAAAGTGATCCCAGATTCGAACTGCAGGGTCCCCAGCCCGGCCACACCGCTCTTCAGGCCCCCCGGCTCCCATCCCCCGCTCCTCCTCAGGCTTCCTGAGGAAGACGTACCGTAAGAGGGGGGCCGGGTGCCCCTGAGGCCCTGCCCTGTACCAGCCGCTGCGACATGGCCCTGTGGCTCCTGTCCCTGGCAGGGGAGTCTGCCTCCCCACGCCTCAGTCTGGCCAGGCTGCAGGTGGGCTGGGGAGGAGGTGACGGGGACCTCGCCCTCAGGAAGCCCTGGAGCCTCTGCCCCCTCCTGGAACCCTGGGCCCATCTGCGGGGACGGAAGCCTGCACGGGGCGGGCACCAGTCAGGCCGGCTGTCCCGAAGGGGGCCCAGCCTGGGTGAGCAGTGACCCAACGGCCCAGACACTCAGAGCAGCGCCTCTGGAGCTAGGGCCAGGGACCCGGTGCGCACCGTCACGTGAAGCATCTTGTGGCAGCAGGCACTCCCCTGCCCTCGTGCCGCTCGGGTACGCCGTCGCTCGCTTCCTCTCCCTTCCCCGCCCACCCCCTCCAGGCTTCCGCGCCCCTTTCTCCGCGCGTGTATCCCGGAGCGGGTGTGCAAGCCCGCGCAGGGTCCGGCGGTTCGCCAGGAGCGGACTGCTGGGCGTCACCTCCGGCCCCGCTGAGCACACCTGCCTGGATGCGGGCGACGTCCCGAGGCACATCTGCCCCTTCTCGTCTCACGTAAGGCCTCCCTGATGCTGTTCCCGACGCTTTCATCAAAGCCTGCAACGCGCACTGCCCGGCCTCCCCCGGCCTGAGCCCCCGCCGCAGCCCGGCCTCCCCCGGGACCCCAGCGTCCCCGCGCGGCTGCCCCCGGGCCGGGGCGGCCCCGCCCCCCTCCCGCCTTCGGAGCCCCGCCCACGGCTCGGCCCCGCCGGGCGCTTCCCGGGAGCCTGGTCCGGGCCGAGCACCGCCCCCGCCGGGGTCGCTCAGTCGGCCCCGTGCGCGCGGCTCGGAAGGGAACAACGAGTGACGAACAAAGGGCCCGGGGACCCGAGGGGCCGGCGCCACCAGGCCCGCTTCGAAGAGCCAAGCTTTAAGGACATAAATTGTTGGCTGCAACTCGGGAAGAGGGCGGAGAGACTCTCCCAGTGGAGAGAGGGGCGCGCACAGCGTGGGGCTCCCCGTCCCTCCTCTCGGCAGGCCGGCTGCGCCCTCCGCCTGCGGAATGGCCGGAACGCCGTGCGGGCGACCCCCCTCGCTGCCGCAGCGGCACCTCCCGGCCGATCC